CACACTGCTTAACGATGGTTTGGTCAAGGGCAGACCACATGTATAACAGTGGTCCCCTAAGAGTATAATGATGCTGAAACATTCCTATCATCTAGTGATTGCCTAGTTGTCATAACATGGCAGCAAACATTACTAACATGTTGTGGTGATCCTGGCATAAATAAACCTACTGTACTGTAAGTGGTATAACAGTATAGCACATGCAATTATGTACAGCTCATAATATTTGATAATGATGATAAAAGACTGTGTTACTGGGTTACGTATTTATTATACTATATTTGTTATTGTTACTTTAGCAAATAGTCCTTCTAATTGTTTTTTAAAAAAAAAAAAAAACAGTTAACTGTAGAACAGCCTCAGACAGGTCCTTTAAAAGGTGTTCCAGAAGAAGACATTGTTATCAGAGGAGATGACAGCTCCATGCATGTTATTGCCCTGAAGACAGACCTTCCTGTGGGACAAGATGTGGAGGTGAAGACAATGAGACTGATGATTCCTAACCATATGTGAGCCTAGATTAATGTGTGCATCTGTGCCTTCATTTTTAACAAAGAAGTTTGAAAAGTTTTAAAGAATTTAAAATGGAAAAAAAATCTTACAGACTACGGATATAAAGAAAACATTTTGAACAGAGATGTTCAATGTGTTTTTGTTTTAAGCAAAGTGTTATTACAAAAGAATCAAAACTTAAAAAGAATTTAAAAGTTTATGAAGTAAAAAAATGTTCAAGTAACTTAAGGTTAATTTATTACTTAAAAAAAATCTTTAAAAATAAATTTAGTGTAGCCTAAGTGTATAGTGTTTATAAAGTCTACAGTAGTATACAGTAATGTCCCAGGGCTTCACATTCACTCACCATTCACTCACTGACTCACCCAGATGAACTTCAATACTGCAAGCTCCATACACGGTAAGTGCCCTATATAGATGTACCAGTTTTTATCATTTATGTGGTATTTTACTGCATCTTTTCTATATTAAGATATGTTGTTATACAAATGCTTATCATTGTGTTATAATAACCTACAATATTCAGTAAAGTAACATGCAGTATAGTCTTGTAGCTTAGGAGCAAAAGGCTACACCAAATAGCATAGGTGTGTAGCAGCCTAGACCCCCTCAATTTCTGCAAGTACAGTCTATGATGTTTACACAACAAAATTGTCTAACGGTACATTTCTCAGACTGCAATCCTGTCACTAAGCAACATGCAACTGTATATGTATGTACAAATTTATATATGTATGTATGTATACATATATATGTATACATAGATAACATATATAACCAAACTGGTACTTAGATGCAATTTGGCAACGAATTTTATAGCTAAAAATTTCATAAGATTTCCACACAAACATTCCTGCTAGTCTTATAGGTAGCCAGACATGGATTTGAATTTTAATAAGCAGTATTATAAATACCATAAAACCTCTACATTCCTAAATAAACTTGTCAATATAAATCTTTTAAAATGTAACTACTGACAAGAAGAAAAAGGGTAGGTAATGAACCGAGACTATTATGATGCTTAGAGTTAAGTTTAAAGGAGCTCTTTAACTAAAGAGCTTCTGCACAGCAGAAGAAACTATCATCAGAGTAAACTGGCAACCTACAGAATGGGAGAAAAATCTTTGCAATCTATCCATTTGACAAAGGGCTAATATCAATAATCTACAAATAACTTAAACAAATTTACATGGAATAAAAACAACCCCATCAAAAAGTGGACAAAGGATATGAACAGACACTTCTCAAAGGAAGACATTTATGTAGCCAACAAACCTATGAAAAAAGCTCATCGTCACTGATCATCAGAGCAATGCAAATTAAAACCACAATGAGATACCATCTCATGTCAGTTAGAATAGCAATCATTAAAAAGTCAGGAGACAACATATGCTGGAGAGGATGTGAAGAAATAGGAACACTTTTACACTGTTGGTGGGAATGTAAATTAGTTCAACCACTGTGGAAGACAGTGTGGCAATTCCTCAAGGATCTAGAACTAGAAATACCACTTGACCCAGCAATCCCATTACTGGATATATACTCAAAAGATTATGAATAACTCTATAAAGATTCAACACGTTTATTGCGGCACTGCTCACAATAACAAAGACTGGGAACCAATTCATATGTCCATCAATGATAGGCTGGAAAAAGAAAATGTGGCACATATATACCATGGAATACTACATAGCCATAAAAAGGATGAGTTCGTGTCCTTTGCAGGGACATGGATCACGCTAGAGACCATTATTCTCAGCAAACTAACATAAGAACAGAAAACCAAACACCACACATTCTCACTTATAGGTGGGAAATGAACAATGAGAATGCATGGACAGAGGGAGAAGAACATCACACACCAGGGCCTGTCAGAGGTAGGGGGATAGGGGAGGGATTATATTAGGAGAAATACCTAGTGTAGATGATGGGTTGATGGGTACAGTATATAACCATGGTATGTAAATACTATGTATCAAACCTGCACGTTCTGAATCCCAGAACTTAAAGTATAATATTAAAAATTATCTTCATAAAATTGCCTACATTGTTTAAAACTGCATTTGGTTAACAAATTTAAAACTGTTGAATCTTCAATTAACAATCTGCATAATTCACATGAACTGAGAAAATACTTTGTCTATAGATAAGGTAGTACCTGGTAAACTCAGAAAAAATGTTGCCAAATGGAAGATACTATCCAATTTTTGTTTGTATTTAAGTATTTGGTCCAAATATTTTCACAAGTACTACCTTTGTGATTCCATTTATACTTTATTTTTTACAAGATAAAATGTGACAAATAAGGTGGCAATATCTGATTCTTTTAAATATTTATCTAGATTTAGGTGCTATAAAACTGTAGGCTCCTTCACAGTTGCATTCTGTTCTGCTACAAAATAAAAAATTAACCAATTAAAAGTAGGCATTCCATCAAAACATTTGTACCAGTCACAACATTCCAGTATATCTGAATACCAAAAATAAATTTTCAAAATTAAATCTTGTGCAGAATTACATTTTAAAAGCCTTATCTTCAATAATTATAATTTACTAAGAGCTTCAAAAGTTGAATTTTTGATCAGTCCATTCATAGAATGCTTTAAATAAAAATTTTCAACTGCTTTTGGACAAAATGCTATCAAAGTATACAGTACCTGTTTATAAAAATGTTCAATGACATTGTAAGACCCATAGATTAATTTACAACATAATTATAATTATTCAGACTCAAATGTTCATGAAATTCAATTAATGAACAGAAGCAAAGAGAAAAAGCTTGTAACATACTAAAGCATTCCTTTATATACAACATCAATTTTACTCAAAATACTGTAGTTCAGTTATATTACTGAATATATAAAGTATACATACAGAGTAATTCATGTTTTGACAACTGTATTTTCTATTTGGTAAAATATCAAGCTTCTTTTGATGCAACTATTTAACATATGTAAACCACAACCAATTCCAAGTATATCTCAGCTATACGGGTCACATAATTTAGTAAGAATTCCATTTTATCCTTTATGCTATGATCCACAAAATTTGTATTCATACAATGCAAAATAATTTTATCTTCAATGGTGAACTTAAATTCATAATTGCATTAATGATAATATTGGAATATTTCACCTTTGACGAAAGAACTTTTAAGAATTTTTCTTTGATTTTATGAATTAGATGAAAAAATTAATGGAATTAGCTGATTTTCTGTTTGTAGCATTGATGACACAGATATAAAATTGGCATCATTCAGTCATTTATAAATTTCTGCTAATAAAAGACACATTTACAGCTATCACTTTTATTTCTGAATACACACAAGAAAAAAATAAATCGAAATAATTAGAATTAGTTTAGAAGTAATTTGATGTAAATAAAAACTCATATTTCACAGATTAATTGGGCCTTCCACAGTTATATATGTTAAACTTTGTCTGCAAGTATAATCTCCTCAAAATAACTACTGAATTTGAAAGTAAACTCTGATGCTTTTTCAAAAGTAGATTTGTGTCTTCATATTTTCACGTGGTCAGAAATTTCACGTGGTGGGGATGCTAAATATTGGCAAACATTTTGTGCACAATTCACAGGGTCATCACCAATATCCTTGGAAAACAAAGTATCAGTAGTTAAATTTTCATTATGTATTAACTTTTCCTTTATTTGAGCTCTCTGCTCTCAAAAAGATTTATTGCAAAAGCATTACCAAACAATGGAAAAACATTTGTTGACAAACCCGCTATTGCAAAAGCCTTGCCACTATTCTTTGTATCCTCTCTGACAGGACTAATAAGCCTCTATTCTCTGGTCATTTCATTTACTCCTAATCTAAAATCCCCCATGTCTCCTACTGACCCCAACCCAAGCAAAGGAGATACACAAATCTCAGACTTCGCATGCATTGGTATAACGAGCTGGTACACTACGTGGCCAGCAGAGACAGCACCAATACATACTCCTCCCATCCTACCCAGCAAGTTAGTTGTGTCTAGCTGTTCATGTTCCAGCACACTTCCATTTTATGAGCAAATGCCCATCATGGTGTCTTTAAAAGGAGTTGTTAATTTCTATCTGGAAAGTATCAGGAAAAGAGAACTGTATTACCATTGGATGTTTTTCAGATTTAACCTCATGTTAAAATGAGAACACTCTTCATTGTACATATGGCTCACACACTAAGAAACAGGCAGGTTTAAAAAAAAAAAGGAACGTTCATTGAATCTATCTGGGCTCGTTTTAATAGAACTATTAATGGTAGTTTACATTTAGTTAAAAAAAAAACACTCCGAGACAAATGCTAAACTGGGCATGCTACTAGGACCACAGGCATAAACCTCGACTGTTTCAGGCAAACTAGAATGATGTTCCCTATACATGTAAGTACTTTCCAAATTTAAGAGATGAAAGAAACATAAAGAAGCATAGAGACAGAGGCTACTTTACTGTAATGCTAACCAAGCTTAAGTTTCATGGTCCCTCACCTGAATGTGCCTCTTCCAAGGCCCTGTATCCAATTTTGTAGTCATAATTTTGTATTCTTTTTCCATAAACAGGGCTCTGCACATCTGGTCCTATATAGAAAAGTTTAATGATTAACCCAAATTTACATAGCCTGTGATCCATACAAAACAAATTAGGACTTGCATGGACTGAGTTTGAAGAACATAGTTTTATACCTGAAAGTGGAAAAATAGTATTACATTTTTTTCCCTAGTAGAATACTAATGGGTATCACTATCTTGAAGTCATTCTATACTATTCCAACCTAAATACCACTACCACCACAAACTAATAGTCATAAGATACCATTTTTAATATGTGGCTTCTGAATTTGAATGACTCCTCAATATCATAACATTTCAACTTCTTTGTCTAGCTTACAAACTCCCCATCAAGCAGACATGCAGACATTATCTCCAGCTATTTAGGTAATGCTTTCCTTTTTTGTTTTTCTCCATTGAACCTTCTTTTGTCCTTGTCTCTGAGTAGCCAAACTCTCAGCTAAACCTATTCTGCGTTTTACTATGGTTCACATTATCTATTTTTTATACCCTATTTTGGCCTCAGACATTAAATATTTTCTAGCTTAATGGCAAGTCATACTTTTCTTCCCCAATATACTACAACCTTATAGAAAAAGACCAAATTTCAGTTACTTTGTACTTCCAGCTGGCACAGTGCTTGGTAGATAGCACTCAGTAATATTTTGCTTAAACTAGATCTAGGGTTACATTTACAAATGGTAACCTCTCACTCACCTAAATTCCAACAGAACTTTACCTAGGACTTTCTTATGACATTGATTGCATTCTCCAATCTGAATTATAAAAATATAAAAGTAAACCTCCCTAATTTAAAAAAATCTTACACTGTATAGTGGTATATTTATAGATCTATAGTGGATCTGATTCTGGATAGCATTTTGCAGGCCCAAGTCTAGTTATATCTTACCTTCCGCCTTTCTTACTATCACCTTCATACCTGAAGTAACTAAGAATTTGGTGAAACTAGTTACTGATTAATAAACAAGAAAGTAAAAGGATCTTTTTAAAATTAAAAACAGATTAATGCTTACTATGGCATCTCTCAAATCTGCACTTCAACCTGATGAGAAAATACAGGGTCTCAGCGGTGACTTCTAGCAAATATGAAACAAATGTGAGAGTTGTAGGTCACTGATTCCCAGATAAGTCAAAACAAAATTTTTAGCTGGTGGGGCTGACAAAAGATTGATATTTTAATTTTGTCAAAAAAAGGATTTAAAATAGAAGGGGACATTTTAGTATCAAAACATTTAATAACGATATAACTTTAGGAAAAAAGAAAAAGTCCATTAAATTGAAAAACCTGCTATTACCACTGATTAGCAAGTCTCACAGACAGTAGCTTGGGAACTACTATCATATACATGTAAAATAATTTCTTAGATCCATCTCTTTGCCCTTAATGAGACCTTGGTTTGACATGCACTGTTATGATACCTTGCAAAGATGGCCAAAACCCAAAACACTAAAGCCAAACTAAGTAAATAACTAAAAAAGGAAAATAAGGGAAGCTTATTTCTTCCCTAACCACTGGCTCTTGCCCTAACAAAAAGGCATCTTATGTACGACTGGTAACGTCCCTAAATTGAAGAGCAGCAAAGCATAAAATGCCAAGTTTGGTTTATACAAGAAAAGCTGTAAAGATCTTTGCAACTATAAAACTGTAAAGACAGTCCTATCAAATGATTCTGCAATTAAACTCAATATATCAGGTTTCTATAATATATGAGAACAATCTACTTCAAATTGGTGTATGCAATCTGGTTGCTATTACTAAAACATAAACTTGCTTCATTCACTTGAGAAAAATTTTATAGAGAGCCCTTTATTAACTGTTTCAGTATCTTTTAAGTTGTGGGGTACAGGTGCAGATCGTGCAGGATTTTTACATAGGTATACACATGCCATGGTAATTTGCTGCATCCATTCCCCGGTCATCTACATTAGGTATTTCTCCCCAATCCTCCCATGCCCTGCTATCCATCCCCTAGGCCCCCAACCCCACAACAGGCCCAGTGTGTGATGTTCCCCTCCATATGTCCACGTGTTTTCACTGTTCAAAACCCACTTATGAGTGAGTTTAGCTCTTATGAGTGAGAATATATGGTGTTTGGTTTTCTGTTCTTGTGACAGTTTTCTGAGAATGATGGTTTCTAGCTTCATCCATGTCCTTGCAAAGGACATGAACTCATCCTTTTTTATGGCTGCATAGTATTCCATGGTATATATATGCCACATTTTCTTTATCCAGTAATAACAAGGTCTGAAGTTGTTTAAGTGTCTTAATGCAGACTCACCTAGTATCACAAATGAACTCTTCTCAAGTTCTTTAATACCCTTCCTTACAACCCATCTTTTCCTTTCCTAAGAAGCCTTGCTAAAAACTAGATCTTCAATTTGATCAATTATTTATTTCACCTCCATTTTAACTTTTAAGAACCAGTGTTCCATTGCTTCCCTTTGGTGCTTGCTTTGTGCCCTATTTCTGTCCTGAAAGACTTAGTGTAACTTCCTATTTCTTGTTTCTCTGAATTTTCACAGTCCTTTTTTGTGGAACTTTTATGTACTTTATTTGTGGCACTTGGCTTTCTATATAGCATAGCATAAAGGGTAAGCACACTGGGCTCAAATTCTAACTCTGCCATTTACTAGCTGGGTGACTCTGGTCAAGTCACTTAACTATGCCTCAGTTTCCCCTTCAGTAAAATGGGAATAATATGTGTATGTACTTCATAGTGTTCTTAACAGCAAATGAATTAACAGCACTTAGAACAGGGCTTGTGATAATATCAAGTACTATTTAAACACCTATTATTATAGTGATTTATCTAATTTTAATCTTGACATTCTCTCATAGGTTCTTTTTGTGAACCAGATGTATGTTTCTTTTCTGAGTCCCCCTGTACAGCTTACCAGTTCCCTAAACAGGTAAAAAATACATTCGCTGAATTACTTATTGTTGAATGCTCTGGAGTTGTTCTGAAGGAACTTTATAATTGTTCTCCAATCTCTTCACTTGTCTCTATTTTAAGTTCCTAATAGCTCTTCTTAAAATGTTCAACCAAAAACATCCCTAACAATGGAGGGGAGTGAAAAAGTACTCCAGGATGGTTTGGGATAAAGATTAAAATTTCTATTCTATTAGCTCCAATCAGCTGCCACAGGTTACTAAAAGCACTATTTCAGATTGAGGCCCTTTAGGACACTAGATCAACTAATATTGTCTACCCCTGCCTACTCTGATAATAGAAAGTGGAGATGTCAAATTTTTTTTATTACCAATCTAAGCTTTACCCTAAGAAGCCCTTCCCACCAAGTAAAATTTATTTAAAATTTCAGTTTATCTGAACATTTCACAAGAGTTTTTCATTTCACTCTACATTGCATCCATGTTTGTGTGAAAGTTGATCACACAAATTAAGTTATTCATATGATGTCCAAACACATAAGAATTGAGTTGCCAAGAGGAAAAAGCACTTGGGACACATAAATTGCTCCAAAAATCTGATTCTCTGCAAGCCAAGCTGCTCAAACTGCCTATGACCAGTTATACCAAATAACTACTAAAGTGACCTTCCAGGAGTCTATGATTAGTTTTTAACTGCCACCATCATCCACCAATGAGAGCTTGCCAGTTCCCCAGAATTTTACCACTGCCAGTGAACTTTCTTTGAAAACCATATGTAACATTTCTCTTTTTTTGTAAAATCCCCACCTTTTTCTTTGTGCTTCAGACATACCAAAGACTTACTTTGTATATGCCCTGAATTACAATTCTACCATTTCCAAATAAAACGTTAAATTCAGAGATTTGTCTCTACATTTTGACTTTGGCATTTGTATAAATTTAAACACATATTTTCCCTTAATCTCTGATTAAAACTGATGCTTCAGGGGGATGTTACCATGTTTCTTAAATCCCCTGGTACCTAATATCTCCAAATGCTGCACCTCCAGGTACTGCAGTACACCTCATTTTCAGAAACAGAATCCTAGATTACATGTTTCCTGCAGTATATTGTTTTTGTATCCTCCCAACAGCAACTAAAATATTACTCCAAGATAGCCATAAAAGTTTGTAATATATGACAGAATAATAGCAACATCTATATTTTGATAGTGCTAAGCATTGTAAAATTATTTCATATAATCCTCTTTGATATTTTAAAGAATGTTAAATTCAAAAACATCAAATTATAATCATGTATCAACTAAATCCTATTGAAGCCTGTAAGTAAATTTTCCCATTTCTCCAAAGTACAACTCTGCTGCCAGAACACTAGCCAGAATAATACAGGTAAATTTCTAAAATTTAGAAATTTTAGAATGCTAACATATTCTTCAACAAAATAAAAATGCATGCTAAAATTATCAGGCATAGTTATGATACTTGGTGAATAGGCAAGCAGTCTTTCCTCTGATAAATTCTTTATAATTTAAATGCATTATAATCTAGCCATATAATTACTGTCCTGGGTCTACTTGTGACAAAAAAATTACATGCAATGGCTTCTTGATTCAATCAAAACAATTCTTCTCATCAATGATTTTGATCAAATGAGATTACAGGCCCACGTGATTTCCAACCAGCTGGACTTTTAAGGTCAATAACAATGAATAGGTTACATAAAATTAAATCGTCAATCTATCACACTTTATGGGATCAAAATACAAAATAAATGGCAAATTATCTCGTAAGTTATTCAAGTAAAAAACTGTTTAAAAACTGTTCACTTTACTTCCCTTTGAAATACAAATTATAATTTGGATTTATGGTGATATTGCTGTCCTGCCATTGATTTCAGTGCAGCTGGGACTAGGCTGTTTCACAATAATTTCCGAATTCATGCAGAGACTGTATATCAACTCAGAAGAACCTAAGAGAGGTGCAGGCACGGAAAGGCGGCAGGGGGAAGGGCTCAGGTGCTAAAAGGCCTCATTAGAGTAACAGGGAACAGGACGTGGAGAACGGGAGGGGCAGTTAGGTGCTAAAAGGCCTCTTTAGAATAACTAGGAACAGGACGTGGAGAAGGGGAGGAGGGGCAGCAGGGGCAGCAGGGAAGTCACTCACAGGGGCCCCCACAGGTGCAGCCTTCGTAAAGGCAGTGGGGAGAAGCTGAGTTACTTTTGTTTTAGGAATAGAGATACGGTTCTAGAGTCTCCATCCGGATTTGGGTAACAATTAAAAGACCCTTTCCTACCAAGTTCTTTCCAGCTAAGACTGTTACCTCTCCACCAGGAACTAGAAAGAGGTGTGGAGGAACGAATGTCCCAGTCTCACAAACTCCAGCCGCACAACTTACCGGGACCCCCCGACCCAATTCATCTCCCCAAATCTTTTGACAAGGAGGTCCTTATGTCTAGAGCTCTGACGACATCTCAGCTCTGCGCCAAGTCGCAGCTTCAACAGGATCCTCCAGGGCCCCCAGACAATGTCTGCGCTCCGGGAGGTTCCTTCTTCTCCGAGGCCTGAGGCCTAATCTCCCGACAGCCTCTGTGCCCCCGGGGAGTTCCTCAGGTCCAGGGCTGGAGGCCCAACCTCCCGACAGCCTCTGCGGCTTCTGTGGGCTCTTTCCGGTCCTGATGCGGCCGCAAGAGGACGCTGTGGCAAAGCAGCCGGCTTGGCTGACAACGTTTTAATAGCTGAGGCAAGGCAAGCCTAAGTAACTGACGGGCCACAGGGTTAGTGTTTCAAACCATCTCCACCATAATTTTTAGTTCTGACCCATGTTTCTGACGTCTTTTTCGAGTCAGAGACCAGACTTGAGAAAGAGAAAGAAGGCAAGGACAAAGTTAAGGATCTCTAACCCTAAAAATGATGTTTCCGTTTCCATAGATTACTCCATACACAAATTCCTTAAATATCTTTCATGTGCAGTTTTAATATTCCATAAACAGGTGTTTATAAGAAACATAGCAGTGTAGTAAGTTACCATGCTGTGCATTGAGTTTCTAAGAGAGCTTGATCAAAACTTAACTAGCTATAAAGGTCCAACGATGTTAAAATCCTTACTGTAAACAAATCTCAAAATAAAAATTGAATTATGCTATTTATTTCTGTATTATGTTTGTATATTCTTACAAAACATGTATCTTAAAAACCGTCCTATAATTTTTAGTTAGAAACTAGGCAGCAGGCACTCTGCCCTGCCTTCGGAAGAAGAATTGTCCCTGCTGGCTCAGAACCGACAGAGCTCCAAGCTCCCGCCCAGCGGCCCACCAAGCTGCTGAAGAACTGCTTTCTCCCCCTAAAAGAATATTTCAAGTATATTTCAACAGAACTCACTTCCTCTTCATAAATGAGTCACTATGCTGTGAAAAGTAAAAAAGACTTCCTAGAACAAGCCCAGCTCTCCTGACGCCGTCTTCCTCTCCTCTTCCGCTGGGTCCATTTGCTCGTCCCTGGCTCCCTCCTGTCACTGCAGGCCCACCCGCTGGGTTCTGGACATCCAGGGTCTCTCCCCCATCATCCTGGTTCAGGGACAGGGCGAGGCCCGCGCCGCTGTGCACGGACCACATGTTGTGGGGCGCATTGCACTTCAGAGAGCATTTCTGTGTTCAGTTGAGAAGCTAAAATAAAGGTATTGGTTGCGTCTAGTAAAAAAAAAAAAAAGAAAAGAAACTAGGCATCTTCTAAATAAATGCACAAAGTACATTTTTTTTTTAATTACCATGGCTTTTTTCCAGAACATAACCTGGGGAAGATCTCACAATTTGATATATAACAATCGATTTTTGGTTAGGTACCTAGTACCTGTTCTAGGAAAATAGTACCTAGAACAGGATTATGTCTCAGTGTCGACATCTTGTTCAATCACATAAATCCTGATTTTTATGACAACATTCACCAAGGTATATCTAAAATTGAATTAGACCAAGTGAATTCAGCATTTCAGAGAATATTAGATGCTGATGTGGAGTTGGTTTCTCAACAACAAAACCATACAGTCAAGGTAGGAGCTATGACCCTATGTATTAGCTTTTCCTACTTTCAACATTTTAAAACATATTGACTAACTTAACTAAAAGGGGAAATAATTTACTAAGGGATTAACTGACTCTTTTTCTCTTTATTGTGAGTGAGGGGACATAAGGAGAGGTTGACCAAGTTGCTGAGTAAAGAACTTAGAGCTGGCACTCCATTTATGGGAGTCGAAAATTAAAACAATTGAACTAATGGAGATAGAGTGATGGTTACCAGAGGCTGGGAAGGTTACTGGGGGGGAGTGGGAATGGTTAATAGGTACAAACATTTATTTAGATAGAATGAATAACATCTAGTTTTGATAGCACAACAGGATGATTACAGTTAACAATAATCTATTACACATTTTAAACTAAAAGAGAAAAATTGGAATGTTTATAACACAAAGGAATAATAAATGTCTGAAGTGATGGATACTTCATTTGCACTGATGTGATTATTATGCATTATATGCCTGTATCAAAATATTTCCTGTACCCCATAAACCTATACACCTACTACGTACCCATTAAAATTAAAAAGAAACATACATAAAAATGTTAAAAAGAACTGAGAGCTAGATGGACCATCTCTTCTCGCTGACTACAGTCACTTCTTTCCTTCTAGCCACAGGGAGGTAGTGAATTAGGCTAAGCAAAGATTATCCTATGAGATACATGTTCAGACAAGATAATTACTGGGGCTTCCTTCACAGAAAAAGACATTTTCATATGAACTAGGTGTTAGCTACTTATGTGTAACAGATGAAATGTTGACCTAAGATCTCATTTCCAGTGCTGTTTATGCCTCCATGAGTAAGGCTAGTATGACTGATAGATAATAATAAGAGAGTCCAACACTGCGCTATTTTAGGACCAGTAGAGCAATTAGGTAATCTCTTGGGTAAGGAAACAGTTCAAGAAGGCAATATAGCACAGATGAAATACTGTTAAACACCTGTTGAGAAGGAAATCCATTCAAAATTCTCAAACCTTAAACAATTTATCTTTACCTATTTCTAAAAATTATTTGCTTTCTGGAGATTCATAATCTGAACATGCAACACATACATATTATACATGTATATAATATAGAATATATTATGTATATATTATACATTTATGTATATATATGTATATACAGTTCTCTTTATTACAAAAATAATTTCTGATGTTTTACAGTTCATAAAACATATAGTCTCTAATTTGTATTCTTCTATATATATATACAATTCATTTAATCCATCTCTTTTTTTTTTTTTTTTTTTGAGACGGAATTTTGCTCTTGTTACCCAGGCTGGAGTGCAATGGCACAATCTCAGCTCACTGCAACCTCCGCCTCCTGGGTTCAGGCAATTCTCCTGCCTCAGCCTCCCGAGCAGCTGGGACTAAAGGCGTGAGCCACCATGCCCAGCTAATTTTTTTGTGTTTTTAGTAGAGACGGGGTTTCACCATGTTGACCAGGATGGCCTTGATCTCTTGACCTTGTGATCCCCCTGCCTCGGCCTCCCAAAGTGCTGGGATTACAGGCGTGAGCCACCGTGCCCGGCCTCATTTAATCCATCTCTTACATGAATATAGCATACTTTAGAATATCACATGAGAGTATAGTGATTTGAGAATTATTAATTTAAAAAATTATTCTCAGTTATTCAAGATCTTTTCTAAGATGATTTCTCCCCTCTTAAAAAATTTTAATATTTTTTCATATAAACACATAAAATTAAGACATCTGTGTCCAGGCCTAAGCATGTTTTTTACTTCCGCAACAAATGATTTTTTTCTCCTCTTTCTCTGCTAATTTAGTTTGGAATTCAAACAAAATTAACATTCTCTTAGCTTTAATTGCATTCCACCAGTTAGAAAAATCTGAAAGAAGGCCAGGTGTGGTGGCTTACACCTGTAATCCCAGCACTTTGGGAGGCAGAGGCAGGTGGATCACCTGAGGTCAGGAGTTCAAGACCAGCCTGACCAACATGGGAAAACTCATCTCTACTAAAAATACAAAAATTAGCTGGGCGTGGTGGTGGGTGCCTATAATCCCAGCTACTCGAGTGGCTAAGGCAGGAGAATTGCTTGAACTTGGGAGGCAGAGGTTGCAGTGAGCCTAGATTGTGCCATTGCACTCCAGCCTAGGCAATAGAGTGAGGCTCTTTCTCAAAGAAAGAAAAAAATAAAAGAAGTACCTCGATATTCTTAGTTTTAACTTAAATGCCATATATTTCTGACTCAATTGTCTAGATGGCTTCCTGTCTTCTTGAATCCTTCCTTTGCCTTATCTGAAGGCTTGTGCCTAGTCTCACACTAGGACCAGTTCTTATCTTTGAGAGCACCGTAATGTAAATGGTGGGAGTGAAATGTAAATGTTTAAGCATTAGGTTTTCACATAAGTGACTCAACATCAAATCAAATCTCACATTGACTTTTTCCACAGTTCAAGTAACTCACTTTCAACCTTCCTTGTACCACGATTCAGGTAATAAAACTTCTGCTTGGTCATTTTCCTCATACACACTTCTTCATTCTCACAATTCTCTCACTCCGGATATTGAAAGCTTGTTCCTGCACTACAACCTCATTCTCAATCGGTAAACTGACCTGCCTCCAGTCCTAAGTCCTGTTCAAATTCTACTGTCCTTCGCTTCTCGAGTTCTCACTGCCGTGCTCCTCCCCTGATATGGCTGCCTCTGGTTATATGCATTGCACACCACTTGCCTGGACTGCCAGCTGCTATCTGACCCCTGCATCCTTCTGTGTACAATGTTCTGCCTAATAACATCCTGCCATCAACCCCAATTAGGTTTACCCTGGCCTTCACCTATGCTGTCTCTTCTAACCCTTTTTTGTTTAGCTGTTAGGAGACGTGACATAAATGAAAGGCAATCTTATCTTGCATACAACAAAAACAAGAGCTTAGGAATAAAAGATTTTGACAATAACTTCCATGACCACTATGATCTGTACATACAGGCTTAAAAAGCCTTAATAGGATGATAGCGTGTGCTACTAATATGGCCAGCTATCAAAAAGACTTGCATAAGTTTGACACTCATGTGTCAGTAAATCCGCTGACTCGAATGCAAACAAATGAAGAGATATGTGATGGTTGTCAGACTTAATATGAGTACATAAAAAATAAGTTTTAAAAATTTAAGAATGTGGTTACTTATAAAAGTGAGGATAGTTCTTTAATCGCGATAAACTCACTAATGAAGATCATTTAATACTGAGATGGGTTTTATATTCTAGCATGAGGTTTGCAAACTCCTAAAAGAGCCAAATAGTACATATTTCAGTCTTTGTTGCATTCATTTAACCACCGCTGTGGCTTGAAAGAAGCCATAGACAGAAAGTTAATTAATGGGTGTGACTCTTTTCCATTAAATCTTCATTTACAAACATAAAAATTAGCATTTTAAGTAATTTTCACAAGACAAAATATTATTTTGATGTATTTTCAACTACTTTGAAAATGTAAAAATCATTCCTAGCTTAAGGGTGATATAAAATTAAGTGGCAGGCTAGATTTGGCCCACCAGTTGTAATTGGCCAACTTCTGTCCTTTTTCCTAAGCTTCTAATTGACTAGAAATGTGTATGTATTTTGGGGGCCAGGTGCTGGTGAAAAAAAATCCTTCTCTAGCTACTGAGCATGCTCAGTGTCACTTAGAAATCCCCAGAAGTTTCAGAATATACATCACTTCCGTAAGATTTCAGTAGATATCACAAGCAGAAGAGCAAGTAGAAAGGAAGATTTCTGAGAGTTTTAATGAGGTGGAGTGGGGGAGAACGGAGAGAAAAAAAAAATGGCTTTTCTATATCCAAAAATATACTCAGCCTTGATTAAAAAAATGTTCTTGACTGGGCGTGGTGGCTCCTGTCTGTAATCCCAGCACTTTGGGAGGCTAAGGCAGATGGATCACTTGAGAACAGGAGGTTGAGACCAGCCTGGCCAACATGGCAAAACCCTGTCTCTACAAAAAATACAGAAATCGGCCAGGTATGGTGGCGTGTGTTTGTAATCTCAGCTGCTTGGGCGGCTGAGGCACAAACCTGGGAGGCGGATGCTGCAGTGAGTATCGTGTCACTGCACTCCAGCCTGGGTGACATAGTGAGACTATCTCAAAAGCTGTTTACATATTTTAAAATATGCAGAATTGTCCTTGACTGTTGAACAGTTTAAATTATTTATTATGAATGTGAAGAATTTTTTTGAAGACTCTTAGTTTTTATCAAATAACCAAACGGAAATAAAAGGTAGCCAGTAGATTATCTCTACAGCTAAACCGAACAAACAAAACAGAAACTTGGAAAAGACAAGGAATTCTTGAAAAATGAAGTAAGGTCCTAGATAAGCTATTTCCACTATCCAACACCAGTTGAATTCCCAAACGGTTAAACTCTGACTATAAATGCTATGCAACTCCAAATAAATGTTGTTAGTTACCTAACACATGGGAGTTGTAAAAATAAACATTGTAGTCTGGGCGTGGTAGCTCAAGCCTGTAATCGCAGCACTTTGGGGGGCCGAGGTGGGAGGATCACCTGAGCTCAGGAGTTCGAGAACAGCCTGACCAATCTGGAGGAACCTCATCTCGACTAAAAATACAGAAATTGGCCAGGCATAGTGGCAGGCGCCTGTAATCCCAGCTACTCAGAAGGCTGAGGCAGGAGAATTACTTGAGCCCGGGAGGCCAAGGTTGCAGCAAACTGAGATCCCGCCACTGCACTACAGCCTGGGCGACAAGAGTGAGACTCCGTCTCAAAAAACAAAAAACATTGCTATCATTTATTTAGTAGTGATTACCTTGTAAATAAATATGAGTGCATCAGATCTCCAGTTATGGGGGCTGGAAGATTTTTTTATCACAAGGACAAGTAGGATGGCGGGGGGGAAAGGGAGAGTGGCTAGAAGCATAACGAATAATTATGTTCTGTACCACAGAAGACTTTTATCCTATTTATTTACAAGGGATACCCTCAATTACAACTTGTCTATTAGGTTCTGAGACCTTATGTGAAATCATAGACCCCCTAAAAGCCGGCGGTGGGGGAACCGGAAAACAGATCCAAATGTTTGTATTTGAAATTTGGCATTCTCCAGTGCCCCTCCCACTTGTCACTTTCTTTTCTGATCCCTTTCAGATTCATTCCATACCCTTTTCATATTCATTTTATGTTGATCCCCTTGTCCCTCCTCCCTCATTCCGTGGTTCCTTCTCCCTCCTAGTCTCATTAGAACTCTTGGAAATCTCCCTTTCTCCTTGCTCTTCTGTTTAAGGTATCTTATCTACTGAAATCTTACCGAAGTGATGTATATTCTGAAACTTCTGCGGGTTTCTAAGTGACACTGAGCATGCTCAGTAGCTAGAGCCGGTTTTGTTCGCCAGCAGTTGGCCTGACTCGACCTCTCCAAAAATAGACATTTAACTCTCTGAACTCCTGTTTAAGGAAGGATGTAATTCGGTTTGCTCTCTCCTCATTTTCAAGGTTCAAAGGGAAGCTGCGAGGATTCCAAGGTCCCACCGCCCTCACAGCCAATGAGGGGCCTGGGAGGGAGGAGCTTGGTGCAGCTCGAGCTTCTGAGAGAATAATCCCCAGTAGATGCAGTGGAGTCTGAGCCCCGCTGCGTCTGTTCACAGTAGAGCAAAATTAAAAACAAAACAGTGGAAGAGAAACGCTGCAGACTATGGGACGCTGTAGGACTTTCTGAAACATTTGCTGGGAATTTCTGTGGAGCATGATCTTTTAAAACGAATTTTTTTTGAAGCCGGTTTGGGTAACTGGGAAAATGACACATATGCTAAATGCAGCAGCTGATCGAGTGAAATGGACCAGATCGAGTGCTGCTAAGAGGGCTGCCTGCCTGGTGGCTGCGGCATATGCTCTGAAAACCCTCTATCCCATCATTGGCAAGCGTTTAAAGCAATCTGGCCACGGGAAGAAAAAAGAAGCAGCTTACCCTGCTGCAGAGAATACAGAAATACTGCATTGCACCGAGAGCATTTGTAAAAAATCTTCTCCTGGAGTGAATGCAGATTTCTTCAAACAGCTATTAGAACTTCGGAAAATTTTGTTTCCAAAACTTGTGACCACTGAAACAGGGTGGCTCTGCCTGCACTCAGTGGCTCTAATCTCAAGAACCTTTCTGTCTATTTATGTGGCTGGTCTGGATGGAAAAATCGTGAAAAGCATTGTGGAAAAGAAGCCTCGGACTTTCATCATCAAATTAATCAAGTGGCTTATGATTGCCATCCCTGCTACCTTCGTCAACAGTGCAATAAGGTACCTGGAATGCAAATTGGCTTTGGCTTTCAGAACTCGCCTAGTAGACCATGCCTATGAAACCTATTTTACAAATCAGACTTATTATAAAGTGATTAATATGGATGGGAGGCTGGCAAACCCTGACCAATCTCTTACTGAGGATATTATGATGTTCTCCCAATCTGTGGCTCACTTGTATTCCAATCTGACCAAACCTATTTTAGATGTAATCCTGACCTCCTATACACTCATCCAAACTGCTACATCCAGAGGAGCAAGCCCAATTGGGCCCACCCTATTAGCAGGACTTGTGGTATATGCCACTGCTAAAGTGTTGAAAGCCTGTTCTCCCAAATTTGGCAAACTGGTGGCAGAGGAAGCTCATAGAAAAGGCTATTTGCGGTATGTGCACTCCAGAATTATAGCCAATGTAGAAGAAATTGCCTTTTACGGAGGACATAAGGTAAGATAGAAATTAAGGTGATGGGTGAAATGTGAGACTGTTTAAGCTGCCACTGCAGTGCTAGATACCATCTGTTGTCCTGTTGATGGACCCACTTCTTTAGTGTCTTAGATTCCTCTGACATCTAAACCTGAATTAAAATGCATGCTTCATTACCCCTTTTAACTGTACCCAGTTAAAGAATTATAGGGTGCAAACTTATCTAAAGTTTCATGAGAATAAAATTTGCAACCTTCTAAAAAAGCGACTTAGCCTCAGTTACTCAAATATGCTCAGAATTATTTGTAAGGCATTTTCTTAAAATGTAAATCCCAACTTGGCTGGTGGTCCTAAAGCACCTACCAGAAGAAAATGAGTATTTGGAAACTAAGACTAAACACATTTCCATTGAAGTGAAAAATTTAGAATGATATTCTTTGTTGTTTCTTTGTTGTCAAAGAGTCGGGGGCAACCATGATTTCTTATAAAAGACATTTTTAACGATTTTGCATGTCTGCTCAATATGGAACATCCTCATTAGTGTCTCTCAAAATGGCATTTCTATTACTCTTAGTTCATGTTCAGCAGTAGATTTTGATAAAATGAAAAGAGGCAGTGAAATGAAATTTTGTCTAGCTTTGAAATAAAAGCTGAGATTAGACAAGGAATGAGGAGTACAAAAGGAGTTTCAGAATGTTGTTTTTAATTATTAAAGATTTTCAACAATAAGCAGATTCCTAAGACAATTACCCCAATGATACATATTTGCAGTGCATGAAGCTAACTTCAGAATATGAAATAAGACAGAAATTTTGAAGGCAATGCAATCTTAATTTAAATGACTTGGTGAATAAAATAAAGTGTTATACTGTTGAAGATGGCATGTCAATCACCAAGCAGAATTATTTAATTTTTAAAGCCTCTGTAATTATCAGTGCGGTTTTAGTAGCAGTAGCAATCTGAAAAGAAATATTTAAAGCAAATTTAGGACTTCTACTTGAAAATTGACCTCATATGTTGTATTACAGCATATTGATTTGTGATTCTTTTTGAACTCTTGAATTCAATGACATAAATTATAGTGTGCTTACACTTCTTGCATAAAAGGCAAAAATCTACAAATGGAGTCATTTCAAAAGTTGAATCTATACATATGTATGTCATGTGTCCATTTTCAGATATTTTTAGTGTGATCAAGAAGGACAAAGCTCTAACAATTGTTTATTCACGTCTTATGTAATACCATTTAATTTTAACATCTCATACATATAATTTAAATATCATAACTATAAATTACTTATATGTATTTTATATCCAATATTATGTCCACTGAGTAGCGTAAGTTTTTAAACATCATACATATGTGACCAAAACTAAATAATAACTAATACTGGTATTAATCTGCATTTATTGGTTGTTAAGATGCCGAGATAATGCCATACTAAGAAAAACAGAAGAATATGCATATATTTTTAAAGAAAGTCCTCAAGCACAGGCAATGTTTATATTTGTAAACATAACATTTTACAAACTGGGTTTATAAAATCCTGGGTTAATTGTTATCCTGGGTTAATTATTATCTCTTTTCCCTCTATAGGTAGAAATGAAACAACTTCAGAAAAGTTACAAAGCTTTAGCAGATCAGATGAACCTTATTTTATCCAAACGTTTGTGGTACATCATGATAGAACAGTTCCTAATGAAGTATGTTTGGAGCAGCAGTGGACTAATTATGGTGGCTATACCTATTATCACTGCAACTGGCTTTGCAGATGGTGGTAATGACATTTATGCTTAATCTCAAATATATGTTTAACATTATTTCTTTTGAAGGTGTCATTGCTAGCTTTATGTGAGCTAAACTGTGTACATAGTCATTATTTTAGTTATTAATGGTCAGAAACAATGGCAGACTTTATAGAGTCCAGCAATAAGACCAGCAGTATGAAATAAGGAGACAGTGGCTCAAAGACAACACCAGTTCTGAGATATTTCAGAGATCTCTGATGCAGCGTTTCTGGGAGTTGACTTTGAGCAATTTTAATTATATTGTCTAATATAGGATGATTCTTTAGTTAACACTTAACCTCAACAAGTTAGTACCCTCAGAAAGAGTATAACACGGCCGGGCGCAGTGGCTCAAGCCTCTAATCCCAGCACTTTGGGAGGCCGAGGCGGGTGGATCACGAGGTCAAGAGATCGAGACCATCCTGGTCAACATGGTGAAACCCCGTCTCTACTAAAAATACAAAAAATTAGCTGGGCATGGTGGCGCGTGCGTGTAATCCCAGCTACTCAGGAGGCTGAGGCAGGAGAATTGCCTGAACCCAGGAGGCGGAGGTTGCGGTGAGCCGAGATCGCGCCATCGCACTCCAGGTAACAAGAGCGAAACTCCGTCTCAAAAAAAGAGTATAACACAAGCTTTCTTCATGTGTTATAAATGTTAGTTCTACACATGCCATACGTTTAGTCCACAAATATTCTGTAACTGAATGTGCCCTGCTTTGTGATTTGAAAAGTCAGTTGACTGCAATGAGCAACCAAAAATATTGTTTCAGAGAATTCTTAAATGCCGTGGAGCAAGGGCTTCTTTACTTGTGAATAATACAGATAACCTCCTATGCAGCATGATTTGGTGGTATTGTAGGAATGGCGGTTGCCAAGCTGCAACTGGCTAATTCTATCTTATCACTATCTCGACAGTTTTTAATAACAGTTTTCATTCTTCAGAATAACTAAGAAAGATAAGGGCAAGGAAGAAAAGACAATCTTAACAGTCGCATCATCAGTGGATGGGAGCTTGGATATTAATGGGTTGGAACAGAGAAGAATTAATTGAAGAAGTATTTTCTACTCTTTTCCTAAAATAAGGCATCCCTCCTTAAAAATCACAGGACTAAAACTGGCCATGGTGTTGAAGAATCTCGACAAAAGCATAGGCTTTAGAGTGAGACAGAGTTTTTTGTTCAACTTTTAGTTCCCCCTCTTCCTACTTGGATCCTCTTAGTCATGTTAATTAAACTCTCTATACCTTAGTTTCCTCATATGTAAAATGAGAATCAAAAAGGATACTTCAGAGAATTGTTGTGAGGACTTAATCGAATAATGTTTTGAAGCACAGAGCATATTATAGTTGATATATAATGACAACTATTACCTAGAAAACGAAAGGTGACAAATATTACCACCAGAAAACTAAGAACATTTTTACAGAATCTACACTGTTCTATAGTTATTTTTGTGTAGAATTAAGGATTAATAGTTATTTGTTTGAAGAGATCAAATAAAAACAAGTAAATAATTACAATATGCCTTAATGTTCTGAAACAGTGCTTCAATGTTTTAACCAATCCTTATGAAAACACTTGTCAAAGTTGAGTTATTCTTAACATAAATATGTTCATTTTAGTAAGTTAGTATTTGTCAGCCTCTCTTTGTGGCAAATGGTATACATATATCAATTATACTTCACAAATGAACTGTGTAACAGATAGTATATTTAGACCACTGAGAAAATTGAATATTTTCTGGTTTTATGTTTCAAAATTTGCAAAAAGGTATTTTATTTTTTAAAGTTTATATTTAAAAAGGCATTGTTAGTAATAGTATTTTAGACATAATCCTTTCATAATAAAATGCAATTACTTTTTCAAAAGAGTATTAGAGAGAAAAAGACGCTTTAAAATCTATGGTATTAAGATTAGTTTTACTTTAAAAATGTCAAAAATTATCAGATATTCACTTAAAAAGCCATTTCTTAAAGTAGCAATACTCATTAAAAATGTCATATGTAATGCATATTAGAGACAACTCGATAGGCAAGATTACAGTGTAGTTTTGTTAGTCAGTACTTGGACACACTGGAGTTATTAGAAAACCCTGGAGTATTCAGCACAGAACAGTGAAA